GGCAGAGAGATCACAGACGGCCTCCATAGCCGTGACAGGACAGGCTGTGAGCTCACAGATGGCCTCCATAGCCGTGACAGGACAGGCAGAGAGTTCCCAGGCGGCCTCCATGGCCGTGACAGGACAGGCAGAGAGTTCCCAGACGGCCTCCTTGGCCGGAACAGGATAGGCAGAGAGTTCATAGACGGCCTCCTTGGCCGGAACAGGACAGACAGAGAGTTCATAGGCGGCCTCCTTGGGCGGAACAGGACAGGCAGAGAGATCATAGACGGCCTCCTTGGTCTGAACGTGACAGGCAGAGAGTTCATAGGCGGCCTCCTTGGCCGGAACAGGACAGACAGAGAGTTCATAGATGGGTACCACTGACACCTCTGGAGGTTCTACAGTAGTAACATCATGAAACAGGGAGAAGTCGGTAATGGTCTCTTCGACCGCAACACGACAGGCTGAGAGTACATCGCTGGGAGCCACCACCACACAAGGAGCTGAAGCGAGCGCCTCCACCTCGGGAGGTTCTGTGGTGGTGTATGCAGCCCAAACACACCATAAAGCGATCCCCATCAAGGGAAGCACTTCAGACAGGGGAATCAGTTCAGGAACAGGAGGGCTAGAGTGAGTGGGTTTGGGGATACCAGCTGCGCGTGCAGATACCAGCTGCGCATCCCTCACACTGGATACCAGACTGGGATAACGAAGGACTGACCTTGATAATCTGGGTGCAACAGATAGGACGTGACAAGACGCTGGATGAACAGCTGAGATGTGACATGACTTTGGAAGATCAGTTGATATGTGACGAGATTCTGGAAGATCAGCTGTGACGTGACATGACTCATGAAGATTAGCTGTGACTTGACTTGACTCAGAAATGGAAGCTGTGACTTGACTTGACTCAGGAAGATCAACTGTGACTTGACTTGACTCATGACGATCAACTGTGACTTGACTTGACTCATGACGATCAACTGTGACTTGACTTGACTCATGACGATCCCCTATCACTTTGAGAACCGCTGGTCTACACAGAAGAAAGCCCTGTCTAGGCTCTGTCACAGAAAACGTTGTGTCGAGCCATTCATTTGTCTGGTTGTTTGGTGAAAAAAAAGATTAAATGTAGTTTAAGCAATAAAACTGTTTAAGAATCCGTACAACTGCAGCAGCAGAGGACTAGTATTCTGCCGCGCGGAACTGCAGAAAGACTGATGGCAGCACGGTTTGATCTTTTTTTGTCTGACCAATCAGCAGACAAAATGAAAAAACGAAAAAGGAGGCATTTCTCATTTTTATACTTTCAATATTAAACAAAAAATCACATGACCAAAAGATACACGGACCATTTACTTTTGCGTAAAAGTACACGGACCTGGCCTCTCTATTCTTTTTGTATTCTATCTGTTTGTTTTCTTTTTATTATACAATTAACAAAAAGCAAAAAAAAAAAAAAGGCCTCTAGCTTGCTCTATTCTTTTTCTATTCTATCGGTTTTCTTTTTATATATTATATAATTTAAAAAAAACTTGCTATGTGTACTTAAAAGCTTCTGCTAAATGACTAAATGTAAATGTAAATGCAATTTTAATATCATGAACTGAACTGTGCTGAGTCCACCTCTTCAAGTGGGCCTGGGTATGGTTCAATGTTCAGGTAATGGCATGATCAAACTAGTTAAACAAACAGGACTTTGGGGTGAATATACGCTCTGGCACCATTCAGTTGGGCTACTGTGAATACATTCTCAAACGCAGCCATTGAGCTCACTCTGTCTGTCTATGAGTCCGTTTTACACTCTAAATGTTTTAGATTTTAACCCCTCAATTGGTATCTATTTTGTTCCTGCATTGTGGCTGAATTAATTTTATAAAAAAAACAAAAAAACATTTGCTCTGTTATGGTTATACCATTTGATATGTGTGTGTGTATTTTGCACTTTTTTTTTCTTTTAGACTTTAACACATTCGTGTGCTTTTATTCTGCATCATGGCTGATTAGTAGATAGCTACCTCCCCACTGTTCCCCAAAAATAGGTCCTTTTAGACCCTTAAGAATACAAGTATGACTCGATTTTAGGACCAATTTTGCCTTCACCAATCGTGTCCGATATTTCTTTGTATGTTCTCATAGCAAATTCTAAAGAAGTAAAACATAAACATAGCAAAAGACTACCCACTGCACTTTGTTTATCCTGAAACTATGGGGTGGTGGTGGCTCCGTACTTGGGTCTTCATTGCTGCTTGCAGCTATATTTTAAATATTGCCATTGTGTGAAAACAAATTTGGAAATTTTTACCTGTCTAGTCAGTTTTAATTTAATGATAGCTGGGCTTTAGTTACTTTTACCTAACTTTTTTTCCTCTCTCTCTTTCCAGGCTCACTACATTCAGGCTACAGCGTTTAGGAGCGCTGGCCGCAATGAGGAGGCTCTACAAGAGTATTTCTACTGTTTGGCTCTGAAATCTGACTGGATCGCTGTAAAACTGGAGGCCCAAAAGGTACATTAAGATTTGTTTATTTGCGAATGTCAGCCTTTGTGTGGTAGATCTGTTGCGCAATGGTTTGTCTTCTAATTTTGATATTAATTTTAAAGTTTAAACCCTTAGTTTCTTTGATTTATGAAGTTGTCATTACTTTTGTATAACTTTTTCTGTGTATCTACAGATCCTGAGTCACATGTTCTCCTCGGTCTTTGCAAATAATGGTCTGGCCACGTCCATGCAGCCCCTTCCAGCTGGACCCTCCTCTCGTATCAAACCTTCATCCCTCAGCTCTCTTCACTCCTCTCTTCCTAGAGATGGAGCCAAAGCAGGCTGCTCCAATGTTACTGTGCTCAGATACAACTGATTTAAACAACTGCACAGATTTGCTACAATGGAGATATTGTCACACTGAATATTTAAAAATTTAATTTTGCTTTGCAAAGCAATTTTAGATTCATAGCATAGATCATAGCACCATCAGATCTAAAACTGTTTTGTTTGTGTGTGTGTGTGTGTGTGTGTGTGTGTGTGTGTGTGTTAGGAATGTGTGTGTGTGTGTGTGTGTGTGTTAGGAATCAACACTCAGCTGCAGCAAGTTCAAAGATGGGAACTCCTCTATTTTACAAAGATCTGAAAACATAAACTCTGTTGGCCTCAGTTCATTTTTTGTTCAACCAGTCCTAAAAAGGAAATGGACAGAAGATGTTAAGGCCTTTGAGCCACCCAGCAAACAGCTTAAAGAAGGTATGTGGTTTAAAACCATGATGTATTTATTTTATGTATGTTGTAAATGACTTACAACAAATATTGTGAAGGAATAATTCATATCTGACTAAGATCTATGGCTGGTTGTACAAACACTCACTCTCTCTCTCTCTCTCTCTCTCTCTCTCTCTCTCTCTGTTTCTGTCTACTTGCATCATTCCCAGATAAGGCATCTTCATGTAAAACTCTCCCTACTTTTTCTGGGGGGAGGCAAGTTCAATCACAGCTTTTGGACAGTGCAGACTTTGAATGTTCTCTCTGCATGAGGTGATAATAAATTCTCTCTTTGAACACTTAAAACAATAGTTCACTCCAGAATTAAAATTTCCTGATAATTTACTCAGCCCCGTGTCATTCAGGATGTTCATGTCTTTCTTTCTTCAGTCAAAAAGAAATGTACGGTTTTTGAGGAAAACATTCCAGGATTTTTTGAGGAAAACATTCCAGGATTTTTATACATACGTCAACTTCAACGGGTACCAATGGGTTGAATTTAGTAAATAAAAGCAAATAAAGTTGAAAAACTTTAATTTCTTTTTGACTGAAAAAATAAATGTATCAACATCTTGGATGACATGGGGGTGAGTAAATTGTCAGGAAATTTTGATTCTGGAGTGAACTAACCTTTAACTTTGTAGATATCTAAATCCTCCTCATTAATGTATTATTCCAGACTGTTTTATGAGCCTGTCACCACACCCTGTGGACACACATTCTGCCTCAAGTGTTTGGAGCGCTGTTTGGACCACAACCATAACTGTCCCCTGTGCAAGGAGAACCTCTCCGAGGTAAATATCAATACACTTGCAATATAGTCTACCCACAGATATAAGGGCCAATTAATTATCAATCAATTTATCAATTAATATGTTGGACCATGGGGCATTAAAATATCTCCTGAGTTTAATATAATTAGTTTTCAAAGAAATCTGTGAAAATGCGACAACGATATACCAGTTCTAATGCCATGCCGAAAGTTCGAGCAAAGCATGCTAACTGTTCTGTCTTTGGCTGCACCAATGAGCACAGAACACTATTTAGAGTCCCAGCCTCAGGGGTAGACAAGAGAGCAGTGGATTTATTGATTTAATTACTGTATATTACACTGCTGCCACACAAATATAAACATGCAGTTTTTTCCCAGCTGTTTACCTTCACAGACATAACTAACTGTTTTTGTAATTCGTGTGTTTTTGACAGTTTAAACACAATAAGACATGAAAGAGAACTTTAGTACTCACATGCTATGTGACATGTGACTATGTGCTGCTTTCTGTGTGCATGCTTTGGATGTGTGCTCAGAAAACGTATATCGGAAGTTTAAACTAATATGGTTTAAAACGCATGATTTCTGCATGGTGGACATGAAAATCAAAACCAAACAGATGTTTTTTAGCACAGTATCTGAGGTACGAGCTATAAAGCCACAGCCCTATTCTGGAAAAGGGGGCAGGGAGCAGTAGTTTATTTGCATTTAAAGGGTCATGAAACCCCCCATTTCAGCACTGGTTAGTTCTCACCACAGTTTTAAAAAACGCTAAAAAAGTCGGCGTGGTGCGGAGGGGGAAGAGGGGAGACAGACAACACACACAGCTTCGCGGTCAGACAGTTTCATTTCGCTCCCATCGAGTTAAAAACACAAATGCACAGCCATTTGCACTCTGCATCGAAAACATATATATGAACG